AAATTAAAAATTTCGACATAATTTACCTATATGGAAATAAGGCCAAGAAGTTGAAGTTCAAAGTACATTGCACAAACTGTAAGTGTTGTAAATATAATTGTCTGGCAAATGTACGTTTTAACGTATTATCACATAAATGTGTATATAAATACAAATTAAAATGAAACCATCTCAGTTGTTTTTCAACACTTGAAGTAAATTTGCCCAAAATAACTTTTTGTCCTCATTCATTTCTTCCATCATCTTAACTTTTTTGTTTTCCACTTCTTCTTTTTTCTGTTGGTATTCCTGGAGAAATGTGAGCATCTCTGATGCAGACGACCTACTTTTGCGTTTCTTTGCTGGCCTTTTTCTGGGGGTCTTCTTTTGGGGTGTTTCAGTTGGGTAATCACCATCAGCAGAACTATCACTTTCCTCACCTTCATTTGACATCACACAAGATGAGGATTCAAGGGTATAGGTAGGCCTTACAGCTGCATTCATGCCGATGCAATCAGCCATCTCAGAGTAGTACTTCCACTTCTTGTGGCTATTTCCACTTTTGTTGTTATGATCTGTAACTTCTTTGAGTTTGGCTTCCAGCTTAGCCCACTTTCTTGCACACTGATCCGCAGATACTCTGAGATCTGACTTTGTGTTGAAGCTTGTTGCAATTTTTTGAAACACCTCTTTTTTGGTTGTTTTACCATTGCCGAATAATCCTTTATGATCTTTCCAGCAACATATAAGAAGATTTATGTGTCTGTCTTCCCATCTGTCCAAATTGAGATCCATTGATGATGATGCTGATCCTATTTAATATTGAAGAAGAAAAGTTGACCAACAGGTTAAATTGTCAGGTTACGATTGATCAGTCCGGGTCATTTGCGTTGAAATTAAATTAAATGCTTTCATTTATTACATGAATGACATTTTAGTGGACACTAAAACCTTCCTTTAGTTGTAATATATGAGCGTAACTTATTGATTTTATGCGTTCACTGTGGCAGTGTACTGCTCTAAGTTACATTAATTGGCGAAAAAATGTCTAGCCCTGCGAGCAGAGCCTCTCTACACTTTACTGCAGCTGAGAATTGAGAAGAAAAATTCAAGTTTATCGGGAGAAAGGCTCTGCTCGCAGGGTGATGATTCGCTATAAGCTTAATACAATATTGTTTTTTTTCCAAAGTGGAATTTTCTTCAATACATTCTGATGAAACATCGTTTAAGAGAAAGAGTCGAATCATTTATCAAGAACACAGACCGAAATTAAAGTTACAGACGTTAAAGCTAATAAGCCTAAGTTGCAAGGTTGTTTTGCACTTGCAGAATCGATACAGAATTATTGCGGTTTTATCGAATTTCAATTCTCACCGATAACTGAGTTCGGCTCATATTTTTCCGCGTCTTGCTTGTACTAGTGCTAATTTGGCTTTAGCTTAACAGTCTCAATAACTTGCTATTAATTGAATTCACGGAAAATGATAGACGTCGGGATAGGGATCGGCCGATAAAAACCGACAGGATTGAGGGAAAATTTTAGTACCGCCGATGGCGGAATGCGAAAACTCTGAAATCGTTGAACATTTTATGATTTTTAGCGCAAAAGGTAGACTTCACTCCTACCAGTACTTTAATTAAAGAGGAATCAAAATAATTCTCATTAATATTGACTTCAAAGATGTTATTTGGCAGTTTTCAAACTCACCTTCGTTTCCCTCATTCTCCGCCATTTTGTTTCGTCTTGCGTGAAAAATCTTGAAAAGAGCGGGAAGTTGAAATGGTTCGCACACCAACCGGGAAAACCGAAAAGAGCGGGAAAAGCGGATCACCTCAAACGACCACCCACTTTTTCCGCAACGTTCCGAACGGAATGGAACGTACCATTTGATTTTCCATCCGGAATTTCCGGTTTTTCGGTGTAAATGGTAAGCACCCCAGATCCCCAGATTTTAACAGAGATGATAGCAAAATACTATTTTATTATTGCTTATTACATGTAATAAGTTTGAGAGGACTAAGCGAGAAAGCGAATGCAAAAACAGCATTCAAAACATAACACTTGCGCGCGCAACGCCATAAATGATTACCCTATGGAGACACCTTAAGCCTAACCGGCAAGACGGTCTCCACCCTTCCCTCCTTGGGAATTTACGTGGGCGCGTGAGATCTGGTACTTACTGAGAGACCGAGTTCTGTTCTGACAAATGGCCGCTTCTTGGCGGACAGCACTGATCAGGAAAACCAAGGTAAATACTTGGTGCCACATATTATCTAATCTGGATGCTCAAAGTCCATTTAGATTATTTAAATATTGCTGGTTCGCCGTAGTTGTCAAATATGCGAAGCGGAAGTAAACGGAAGAGGTACAGGAGTACACAAGCTGGCAAAATAAACGGAGGAAAGATTTTATTTTGCTACCTCTTTGCTTTCGTGTACTTCAAACTTTCTCGGGGAATCTGAATAACGAGGAAAAAGTGTGTTAGTTTTAACGGCAGGACATATGACACTAAAATTTTAATTTGAGAACAAATGGCAATGTTGTTTCGAATAGCTTGTTCGCGGTGATATTCGTGATCTTCTAAACACGATAATTAACTTACGTGAACACAAACCAGCAAAAATATCTTTCCGGTGTAAAATATCTTATATTTGACGTGAAAGCGAGAAGAAGCGACAAATTAGGTTGAAACCGCTGTGGCTAACAACTGCAGGTCAATTTGTCTTTAATGGTTTTATTGAGTCATTTGAGTCATTTTCATTTTCACTGAAATAACAAAAACAGAAACAATCAGCTCGAAACTAACAGAATTTTGGGCTTGACATCTTTCTTTGCTAGTTTATGGCATGGGAGGAAGCTCAGGCTAGGGTAGCAGAATAAAACCCTCCAGTCTCATTTTAGAATCACTATTTAGATGCAACAAAATGAACAACAGAGTCAGTGTTCTCACAGGCAGCCCAAGCTCTCAATGTTATCCTTTTTTTTTTTCCTTTTTATGCGAACGTTCAGGCTAACGTGACATATGGCATGTACTATTACATAACAACCAAATTTGACCACGCGAAACATGACTCCCGCCTTGCAGCATATGGAGGTGTTGTGTTACAATGGTTTGAATTTATAAACGTTTGTATGGGAATGCAACAGCTTTGCTTGAAAAGCCAATTATTCTTATATTTTGTGAACAAAATCTACTTACCCTGTTGCTGTGTTGTATTCTTTGTTGTTTGCCAGCTTCTTGGGCCGATGTAACGCGATTTCGGCGAGTTATCGTTCTGTGGGTTTCCACTACTAAAAGAAAGACAAGGCTGGACACTGATTTCCGGAGTGCCCGCCGCTCGAAG